TTCGTTGTTCCTTGGTGTTGATTCTGGGTTTGAAGTAATCTCTGGTTAAGAGTGCGTTGCGATTCATATTTCATGTGAAGATATAACTTTACAAAATCGGCATAATCTTTGGTAGCTGATCGTCGTTGATTTACGGCGATCAATTAGATATCTCTTTCATTTACAATCGCGATAATCGCGACATTATGAGTAAGGTAGTCACATTGACATGATCAGTGGTATGGTCCCATCAACAGATCGATCAAATTCACAGGGTGTACATTGATGATCACACCTATGATCAGAACGACAAACCATGTATTTATTATTATGCCATACAACGAGTCGATGAATTCCAATATTAATTTTAAAAAAGAATTGATATTTCGTCGAAATCATTCTCCAGTATCTTAGAATCTATTTCACTCCAGAATACAGATGAAAATCGGCGGTATACTGACTCTCAAGTTATCGACGGGAAACGGAATTCTAATTTTATACGAATCGATCAAGTGAATCAAAATTTATACGAATAAATCAAAAATGTATGCGAATCAGATGTATCGAATGGAAGCAATCGTTCAATCTTGCGAAAAGAATTTCAAAGTGATTGAAGTCATCTTGGTGGAGTTAGATGAGGTAAAACCAAATGACAGGTGAGTTTTTCGCTTTCGTCGACTGGCCGAGAATTGTGGCAATAGCATTGCAAAGACTAGTGAGAAGGAAAATTGCATGAGAATTTATGAGAAAGTAGGTTTCGTGAATCTCGAGTGTCATGCATCGGATGTGAGCGTGCATAGGTGTACACGTGCGTGTTTAAAGCATTGTAAGCATGCAACATCGTTTGACGTTTTTGATGCAGTGCATTCGAAAGCCTTTTGTGAAGTTCCGTTGTATTCAGTGCAGAATGTTCTGATCTCTGATCAGCTATTTGAAATTGTATCATTAAAAGGAAGCCTGGATTTGGAACTTCGACAATCGCTAGCGACTAGAGCATGAGGGAATGATCAATTCTAATGAATGATGTCTGATTGTTTTTGTAAGATATTATTCATTGCTGTCATCATCAGCTTAAATCAAGAAGAAACGCATGTGAAAGGATGATTAATACAATTGAGACCTTCAACATACTTAATTTCATAGTATTCGAATCGCTTTGATGAGTAAATCGCTTCCTAGCAAAAAGATACTTAAGAACAACTTTAATAAAACTACCGAACGGAGCATATAAATTATCCAAGGCAATAAAAAACATCAAGATATGCAGTTCGGTTGACTATTGTATTAGTAACTGCAAAATACAGTTACGTTATCGTCATTCACATGTAACTGCTTAGTGAATTCAAAACGACAGAATGACAATGAAAATCAAAAGGAAAAAACTGTAAGCATGATATCACTGTAAATAGCACCTAATGAAATTTTCATGTTTCATGTTCACACTACAATACGAACTGTTAAAATGATTTTGGTTTCTCAGCTCATTCATGACTGGGCAATGAAAACGAATCGAAGGCATCTGAGCACCAGAAACAGTACAAACGGCATCGTAAATGTAATTCCAAAATCTATAATGGATTTATCACTAAAAATTTCGAGCAACGTATCATTGGAATTTTTAGTACGTGTCGCAAGAAATACGATTCACATCCTGACGTACGGTGATGCAGTGTTCGTTGCGGACATTCTTTGGGCAGTCGGAGCACAGCATAATCGATTTTTTGTCTTATGTCTTACATAACATAATTTAAGATTATGGATAATGGAACATGGAACATATTTTCCGTTTTCTGTCCGCGGATGAATTCACCAAGGTAGTCATTCAGTTAATTACTTCAACATTTCCTTCTTTGAAGTTGATAACATTCAAAATGCAATTTTTGAGGAGATATTCAAATCAGCTCTCATTCGATAAGCACTCATTTCAAATTATAATGGAATCTGATTCCTGATTGTGTAGATAATTTATACAGTTGTGATCCCATGCAGCTGCAGCCTACGGTTTTTTGCTGAACGAGTTTAAAACGTGGCAACAGATGAAAAGAAATAATTCATAGTCTTTCAATTTGGTACTGCAAAACATGCCAGCAGTCTATCAAAATGGTGTGCACAGAAAATAGTAATGGGGAGTAGCGAAGCAGGGCCGGTCCGTTGATGAAGCAAGAAACTCATCGCGTCAAGAAACCAGGGTAAAAATTATTGATGCGATATAATATTAATGAGAAGAGGAATGCATTTATTTCAAGTTCGGAAATGATTGACAATAAGTTAAATTTCGTTAGCAGTATGAATCGATCAGTAAAACGGTATCAAAATATTTTGCTGAAGATTTGCATCAACGGGCAAGACTGATCAATTAAGTTGATCACGTCTTCCTTCATCTGATTCCTCTTCCTCCTTAATGGTCATCGATCTGCAATTAATAATGTAAGAATTCAAAAATCGCACTATATCATAAATTGTAAAAGTCCATAGCCATTCGATGTATTTCCTGGTCAAGTGGTAGTTTCCAGAATGAAAAGCACTGATATGGTGGATAAATTGAATGGAATATTGCGAATAGTGCTGTGCCGGTACTAATTTCCATCGTCAAATGAGAATTTTTATTTGAGGAAGCGTGATAAACTGTCGTGGTGTGCAATACGATCATAGCTGACGATGACTCCAGAATCGATGTTTGGTTAGTTGTGTGTCAGCTGTTCAGAGCAATGACTAACATTGATGGCTTTTTACTGCCTATTGCTCTGACCAATAAACCCAATCGCTGCCGTTGTGTGCTGGATTCATTTTCGATGAGCTGTGCTTCTTCTTCGAAATTCTCTGGTTTTATCATCTGCATTTCATTTGTGCTCAACTTGAATGTCGACAGGTGACTTTTTGGGACGATGTCCTGAATTTTGAAATCGTTTTTTAATATGTGGCTTGTGATTAGTGCATTACTAAAGTTTCTAAGGGACGAGTTACTATCGTTGATGCTGCAGAAGATATCTCAAGTCGTTGCGATCTCGGATATTTTCCTTCTGCAGTGCCTCTTTCTTTGTGGCTTTATGTTTATCATCAGAATGATCAGCGAAATGTAAATTTACGGTATTGCCTTCCAACAAAGTCCACAAGATGGCGTTAGCGCCTATGTTGGGAACACTGACTTGATCAATCAATCACATCGTATTTTTGATATGTTTACTAGGTGATGACTGGCAGCCGAGGATCTTTAATTCAATTCGTAGATGATCTATTCAGCTCCTATGATCTGTAGTCATTATAAACAAGTCATGAAAATTGCGAAAGTTCGGATTTAGAATGGTGAATTCAGCTACCTGAATTTTGAACGATGCTCTTGTGTGCGGAATTTGAACATTGAATCGATACTGAGAAATTGGAGGAAGTTGATCAGCAAGTTCAGTGGCCATCATATTCGCTATGTACGTGTTCCTGTCCAGCACGTAATTCAACTCTAAAAAAATTTTTGTTATCGACAGTTACGTGCAAAGCGATGAATATTTTGTTTCATGCAACGCATGAAACTGACTTGCTTGGAATATGGATCAGGAGAATCTAATCGGGAGAGACATATAGTGATCTTTGGCGTTCAAGGAAGCCTTGATCATCGCTATGCTGTAACATAACAAGACCACCAAATTGTTGAGGTGACCAACCGAAATCGTCATCATCTTCGCCGAAAGGATTCATTAGGTACTGTCCCACTTTCAGCCATCCCAAATAGAAAATCATTTGGAATGTTGTGAAAACTGGCATTAGAATCGCGATTTCGTTCTCCAGCGAGTGCTCATCCAATTTCGGTTGTCTTCCAAGCAAACAGATGATAAAATATCCATAGGTTGCAATCGCAACCACCTGCAGAAAAATTGCATTGAACATTTTATTCTTCGTGATACCAGCTTAGAAGAAGCCATATACTGGATTCACGCATTACAAAACGTACTGTGAAAGCAACCGATCCGTTCTATTCCTTAAAGAGAATTTTGGTCAAGGAGGCGATTGGCTGGAAACGGAAATTCGTGAACCTGTGTGTAAACGAGTGGAATCTTCACCCAATCGTAGACGAACAACATCGCAAAACCATCCCTATATGAGTAGACATGTTCCAGTAGCATTTTCATCTGCACTGAGTCAATTCGTTTCTGACCGTACATTGTTTTGATCAAGTTCACAATCCACATTGTTGGTACGAACCTATACACGTTGAATTGATGAAGCATTTCGATTGGTTTCTTCATGCTCGAAAGAACTTTTCTTTTAAGGCTTATTTCCTACACGAATCTATCAGCATTCGAAACATAGGATGATAATATTTCGGGAATGTAGCGAATTTTTGATAGTTGTGCGTGCCAAGACTAACATTCAATATTGAGGATCCTTTACGCGATCATTTTGGAGCTTTACCTTAGCCATTAACATGATACTTCAGGATTAAAACATTAAAAAGACCCATTCAAATCAACTCTTTGATCATCACTCATTCATCACAAAATTTTGATCGACATCAACGCCGTTTACTATGTACATTTTGAACTGACTGCCTCAGGTGGACTGTCTGAAAGCTGTGACTGATACAGCGTATCAGTTGTCAGCATTTAAGGTATTTGTTATTCCTTGACAGGGTAGTAGCATGTAACTAACCACTTCCCATGAGGTGCGTCAATTGACATAAACATGTTGTATTCGTCTTCAGTCATTAGATTCGCCTCTACTAAATGCCTCTCGGTTGGAAAACGTTTTAGCGTGCGAACTGAGATGCCTGTCCATGCTACTGCTGCCTGTGACATTTTGAAATTTACATTCAAAACTTCACATTCGAAGATTGAACTCAATTCGAAATGACCGAATCAAAACAGTATTGTGATGTTTTCAGTTTATTGCTATTTATAAAGCGGACTTCAAATTCCATCATTGACGCTAGTGCTTTTTGACAACCTAAGTGCAGTTATTTCCTCTTGATGCACCACCTCTCAGGGAAGTTTTTGAGCAATTCGATTGACTGATCTCAGTCGGATTGAAGCGCGCTTGATGAGGTGCTGAATTTCAACAGTCTGAAATAAAGGAGCGTCAAAAACTCGCAAAGGATGAGAAATAGGCTGGCGTCATATGGTGGAATTTCAGTGGAATTGGTAAAATGGTATAATTCACTGGAAATTGAATTTCATTGATTACTGATTGCTCACTGATCATAAAAATTCATTGAAACGGTGAAATTTGTCGACCATTTCTGAAATCCGCCGACCAGAAGCCATTTTCCAATATCATTACAAATTGGATTCTAAGTGATAGTATGTACCTGCAGACTTGACCAACGAGCGATCGTTTGCCGAACAGCAAGGTTTTTTTGACCGGGCAAGCACGCAGCTACCATAATCATCATTTTATCTGGCCAACTGATCCAGTTGAACTGCTCCCACCAACGTGCAACTACGACAGCCACGAAGAAACCGAGCAGAAACGATAGGGGTATATACTGCAGCCCTATCTCACACCAATTTATCAATCCTGTGAAATACTTCTTCTGCGTTTCATCCAGAAAATACCACTGAAATGCATCAACAATGCCAAATGCTAACACACTTCATTCATCGGCTGATGTGCCTGTCGTGTTAAGAAACTTTCAACTTTCATTCGTTGTTGCCTAACTTTCAGTTGACTGTCAGTAATACACACTGTGTTTCATTCCGTTCAACCATAGATTGAGTTTTTTCAGCAAAAAGGATCCAACTATTCAACTGTACTCGTTGGTTTGATTATTTGGCCAATAAATGTTTCAAATATTATTGGTGCGGTGAAGTGAATTTGTTTTAGAAACAAAAAATGCTTCTAATTCATCGCATTGTAAAAAACCTGACGCACTAACACCTTGGAAAACATGATGAGTAACATTTTTGATTTGATTTAATTTAATTTACTTGACAGTTTGACGTTTCAACATTTTGTTTCGACAAGAAACTTTAAAACAACATCATTATGCACAACAAAATTTGCAACAACTACTTTTGCAAATCAGTTTCTTATCGAGACAGGTATCCAACAGTAAGCGTCCATTCTTCAAAAAATTTTTTTAAATCCACTACTCAGAAGCAATTTTCAAAATAATCACTGGAAGTGTCCGACAGGAACTCACCTGAAAGCCAAGAATCATATAGTAACCCATGTTGAACGCAATTACATCCTTTAGTACTGCTTTCCAGAGTGAACCTCGCCATCGAAGCATGAGTGATACAAATTCTTCGTCGTACGAGATCGTCATCTTTGACAATTGCTAAACTTCTCTTATCAGCGAATATGATAATGGTAAACTGGCACTGATTAGCTCACGAACAAGTAAAATTGCAGGATAAGCAACTGCAACAAAATTGTTCCAGTTCAGTTCGATTTCAGATTCTCAGGGTGATCACTTATGTATGACGGAATAAGCAAAATCTCCTTTGTAAACAACCATAACAATACAAATACAATTATGAATTCATGAGTTGTCAAAGCCAAACAATACGTTTGAATGTGCGTGGAAATTTTCGCGAGCCCTGGGAAGTAAAATCAGTTGAGCACTGAAAACTGCTTTGAATGGAATAAAATAGTTCCGAAAACAGCCAATGGGAAAACGAATTAGCTAATGGGCCTATTGTTGACATAGTCACACAGACAACTTTTCAAAATATGCGACAAATCATTCGTAGAATTGAAATTTTGTCTGGAAACGTGATGGAATGAAACGATTAACGCAGAATGCGGATCGGAATTTTGTTTTGTTGACTGAAATGATTTGATGATTGGTAATTCGAGATAATTGATTCGAATCACCGTCAAAAACTTGTTTCCAACAGAAATTAGTCTAGAAGTGAGAAAAACGAACGCGAGAAAATCTCTCATTCATATTTTCAACTTTGTTTTAATGTCGAAATTGTTTTTGCAAAAACAGCCAGTTAAGTCCTCGATTTGCTAGAAAACGCTTCAGCTCTTTTTTACAGTGGAAAAATTTTTAGACAATTGCCATTCAGCAGCACATCATTGGGCACTTTCATACGCTCAACTTCACACAGAGGACTTTTTGTGACTCAGACTGGTTGCAAGTGATGCTCACCATCCCTTCTGTTGATAAAACCCAAATTGCCTTGCTGTGAGTGGAACCAAACACGTGGAATATTAAAGAAGACGGATCGAAGAAAAAGGTCGTGCAGTAAATTTTGTGCGGCAGTGCGAGCAATTTGCATGAACGAATGTGCAAAAAGACAAGGAAAGTGCAGACCGTTGAATGAAGAGAAGAGGGAGATCATCCTTTTTTTTAGACTAAACATCTTAAGCAATAGTCTTCATGAAATAATCTGAGGTTTTGATGGTATCTAGTGACGATTGCTCATGATCGGAAGTGACCAAAATTGACGGGGTGGCATTACATTTCACGCAACTTCGTGAATGCCAGTGAAGGTTATCACGATAAATATCACGACAAAATGTGACAGCAGGCGTTTTTAGTATTAAGCAACATTTGAAAATGATGGTGATTCAATTGGATAAGAATATAGTTGTGGTGAGAACTCGTGTGGTTAATGTCAAATGAAGTGTTGCTGAATGACGCAATACAACTCATTAGATGATACATTCAGCGACACAAAATGATGTCCTCTTGGAACATCACAGACGTAATGATAAGTAAACGTGCAGAACGAAACTCGATTAGAATGTCATTTCATTCATAGAAACCTGTTCATAATAACGAGTGAAACATTTGCAGTTGAAAGTGAACGAGAAAGGAGTGAGAAGAGTGGAAACGGGAGTAGATTGCTCAACATGAAAGTGAAAATTGGAAGGATTTGAATGGAATCGTGGAAATTTAACGACATTTCGGTCTCGAGTCAACGAGTCGATTCTTTTATCATCTCACATACGTCGTCTATCATTATAAGTCTGGAATTTTTTCAAAATTTTCAGTATTTTTCAAAGCCTTCTTTTTGATGTTTGGATTTTTTATGTGGTTGGCTAAAGAGGTTATTGATCCTATTATTTCAGCGTTTTTCGATTAGCAATTTCAGAGTGTTTGGTTCCCAGCTTCCGCAAATTGATTTGTCTTATCTTCTTACTCAGATGGCTAACACACGAGAGATACCGTTAACAGAAACGATTACTCAGATGACTATCGTCCTATCGATTGTTATATTACCCAGTTTAACACAATCCCATCAATCTGAAACTTCCAGATTTTGTGAAAATTTTGACAGTTGTATCGATCATTATTCATGGCATGAGTTTTTTNTGATTCGATACTGATTTGATTCTTTACTATGATCACGCCTTTCGATGAGTTCTTCACACAAACGTTCTCGTGTCAAATGAACGGAAAAAGCGAAGTATTTCCAATGCATCTATTCTCAGTTTTTATTGTACGACAAAAAATCATTAAAACCATTTTTCGAAAAAATTATTGAAGAAATACCCGTAAGAGGTAACTTTTATCACATTTCCATCTGAGCGTCATGATTGTTCAGCGAATAAAAAGCCGGCCTTCAGTGGAGCAATGATGACGTGACAATTTTGTCGAGAACTGATATTCAATAAGAGTTCATACGGAATTAATTGAAATTTAAGCATCGATTACTGAAAAATGTCTACAAAAAATGTGAAATCGTCTGCAATGACAGGCTTACTATGCTCCACTGAGGGAATTTCAAACGCAATATTTCACACTGATTATTTCGACCGATAAAAAAGCGTCGCTATCACTTTTCCAATATCCCTCTCAACGTCCATTCAACGCTCGTACTCAGCATCATCCGAAAGCAACAACTTTATCCTCGGAATCCTCTTATTTCGCCGATGACCGTTTGGGGGAAATGGAATTGCGAAGGCCTAGAAAGTGCGTCTACACTAATGCTGGCAATGGCAGATAGGTGAATGCCGAAGTCGAACAAAATCGTCGAAAATTTCAACAGATCGCAGATTGCCGGAAGTAATTTCCGTTTTTCGGCGCAATACCCCACGAATCAAATTTCGAGCACTTGCCATCCATCACTAGCGCACGCCGTTTCACTCAAAGAATACATCGTACCTTTGAGATGTCATCAGAACAATTTACATCTTCTTCAAAATGTCATATGGATAAACATAAGTGATCAAACTATAAAACAGTGAACGAATGAAGACGTGAAGAAATAAAATGATACAACTAGCCTTGAGCACATAATCACATTGGTAGTTTTCATGCGAAAAATGCAAAAACGTTAACATAAAATGACACTAGATAAATTTGAACGTAAACAATTTTCATTTGCCTGGATTGAGGAGGTTCATAATTCGATAGCAGTTCGGGAAAAAGCAATTCGTGCTGCTGTCAAAGTAAAATCAACTAAAGCCCATTTGGTTTTTGGAACAAGAAGTTGTAAGCTGAATGAGGAGATCAACTCGAACGAGCTTATTGGTGATAATCGGTTTCATTGCATGTTGCCATTCCAGTTTTAACCTTATCAATAACAGCTGCCAATTCATTGGGTGCTCCTACTTCTATAATGGCGAGTGGTGGACTAGGCCAGCAGCTAGTCAATCCGCTGTATCCAAAAAGGAATGATTTTAGACAAATCCTCGGTATATTCGCTCGTTCGGCAAGCACTCCACTGATGAAAGCATCGTCGACTGAGAAGTAGGGATCATCAAATCGAAGCACGTCGATTATTTTAGGTATGGCTGATGATACGAACATGATTCCTCCACCACTCAGATACGTCGGATAATAATCAGGCTTGTACACTTCTACACTGGCGAACCTAAAAACCATTTCAAACTGAAAAAAAGTTTATGAATCAGTCCAAAAAGTGCTAAATATCTTTCGGAATAGTCCATGTATGCAGGTGGATGAGCAGATTCCGCATCAAGCAATATCCACCTAAAATTATATTCTGAATGAGCTCTTTTTCAAGAATAGAGGAGATAGAACGTCATATTCTTAGTCAGTTAGAATCTGTTCATGGTAAAATGGATTCTCGGATTTGCAGTTCCTGTTCATCGCGTTTTTCAGTCCGATCCTCATTCACAGCAAACGCTTTCAATCGTATCATTGCAACAAATATGAAAAACTAAGAGCACGACAAAGAATGCAATTTTATGTTATATGGAGCAGTCAAGTTGTGCCTTCAACCTCTGATTACTTATCAAGAAAATCACCACTTGTTTTTTGGGTCTCGAACGGGTTGGGTGTTTATAAAGCAATAACCAAATAGACATGGTATGTCCACGCTGATGTTTCCAGCAAACTTATTCATTGCACTCGGGAAAACGGCCGTATCTGGATCACCCTGAAACTGTCCATATGCCATGAATGCAA